CACCCCCGAGAACCCGCCGATTCCGTCGGCGATCCAACCGACTCCGTCGGCGTATCTGCGACCGTGATGGGGATGTCCGGCAGGTCACCGTCGGTACTAAGGGGGTGTGGTGCAGCTGCAGATGCAGCTGCCGTCGCCCCCGCCTCCACCTCCTCCTCCCTCTCGAAAACAGGGCTGGGCGGGGCCCAGGCCGGGATGACGAGCCCCACCTCGGGCGGTTCCGCGGACCGTTCCGCGTCGCCCCCCCTCGCGCTTTCTCCTTCCGCTGCTTGGAAAGCGTCTTCCAGCGACCGACACTGCTGTAGCTGAGCAAGGATCCGTTGTTATTTTGCCCGTACAGGCACGGGGGGTGCGTAGGGGGGAATGAGTGCAGCTAGGTAACCGGGAATAAAGTGATGAAGGATTTCAAACCGCTTGCTTCACTGGAGACGCACGCGTCAAAGGTAGTTGGTGACTCTCTGTCCGCTCCGTACAGCAAGCCACGCGTTGAAGGTACGTAGAGGCTTTGACGGTTGTGCTCCATGGGGCCATGCATTCGTTGAGTTCGATGGAGGGTGAAAATGGCTCGTCAAGCGCCTTTACCGGATGCTATTTTCCCCAAAACACGCGGCTCGCCCGCCAGAAAAAAAGGGGGATTCTGGGTTTTACAGAGAGCAAGAAATTGCTGGGGTGGCCTTCGTTTTCACCGTAATTCGCTCTTTCCCCAGACATTTTACGCACGAGTCTTTCATTCCGCCCTCAGATCGACAGCTAGGAGCAAGAACGACGTTCATTCCACTGCATCTGCCGGAAAAGAGCATCTGGCGCCAAGTCACTCACTCCGCACATCGCACCGATCGCAACAAGGGGCAGCAATGGCGTCGTTTCGGCGTGGAATGCGGGGTACGTGCTTGAGCAAGGTGGGCGAGGGAGCAACAACAACAACTAGTTCCCCGAAAGGAACTCAACAAGGGCAATTAGCACTGGAAGCAACTCGAGCGTGTGCATGCCGTCCAATTTCTCGGAGGCAACCACAAGCCATACATCCGTCACCGCACGCCTTGCGCGTGCACGGGTGGAGAAAACAATCGCCCACTGCCCCGACCATGTTTCTCGCCGAACAAGGACAAGACGATCCGTGGACCGCACCTCACTTTCTGCGGCCAAAAACAACAAAACAAGGCAGGCATTTACAATATACGAGATCCGGACACATATCACCACCCACCTTCCCAGCCGCCGCGCCCGCCGTGTGCCACTCCGAGTCCCGCTCGGAGGCGCTCATCCCGCTGAAGCTCCCGAAGCCCTTCGACGCGAGGTAGGTCGGGCTGCCCAGCCTCGGGGAGATGACCCCGGCGGTGTAGCGGCGGGGGGGTAGCGAGAAGGAGGGGAGGGTCGAGGCTGCCGCGAGAGCGGCGGCGAGGGCGGCGGCCTCCTGCTGCTCAAGCTCGTCGACCCGCTTCTCGACAAACCTGTGTTGGGGATAAATTGGCAGTGTTTCGTGTTTTTTCGAGACGAAAAAAGAAGAGGAGCCGGAGCAGAAGCGCGCGTGGAATGTGTTGAATCAGCGAGTGATGCTTTCGATGCTGTAGCCCCTACGGTTTAGTTGTGTCGACACATGCATTATTTTACCACTTCTTGTCGGGGTATGAACAACAAAATACTGACAGCTCCCGGAGGTGGCGGGAACGCACAAAACCCGAAAGAACCCCTTCAATCCCCCCCCCCACCCCTCAGCGCACCCGCGTTCTTGGTCTCCTTCTCCCTTAGTAGCCGCCGCCGCCGCAGCAGCAGCAGCAGCAGCAGCCCGTGATCTCTCCGCCGCCGCCGCCTCCGCCGTCTTCGCCCGAGCCTCCAGCTGCCGCTGCCTCTCCATCTCTCCCTCGTCCTCCTCCTTCCTCTCCAAGCGCCCCCCGGTCTTCGCCGTCTCCGTCTCCGTCTCCGTCTCCATCTCCATCTCCACCGCAGTAATTCCGTCGTCGTCCTCCTCTCCCTTCGATGATCCCGAAAGCGACGCTTCTTCTTCGCCGCCGTCGCCGCCGAAAGTTGCATCCCCCCCGTCTTGCCCCATTCCACCCTTCACCTCCTCCCATCCCTCCCGTTTCTCATCCTCGCTAGTCCCCGCACTCCCGTCC